TAGTTGCATCAAAACTAATTATAAAGATAATCTGAAAGTAATTTTATTACTTTAGCAATTTCGTAACTCATTAGTAACCAAGTGCTTATCATAAGCTAAACCTGAAAGACACTGGTAAATTGAACGCCAGTATTAGAAGAACATGACAGAGAAGCTTTTCAATTTTATTTAAATAGGCATTACTCTTCTGTTCCATCTGCTAAATATATTTTTTTTTGATAACACTTAACTTACCACTACACTAAACGTACTTTTTAAAGGAGTGTGTCTCATCATCTGACACTGACATCTTACAGTGTCTAGTGAGAACAACAAACTCAGTTACAGCTCATACAGCTCAGACACCACAAACTACATGCTGAAGTGATGCTGGCATATTAGCATCAGGGGAAAAAAGTCTCAACTGCCAAAATGCAGAATAAGTAGCAATTCACAAAAGTTCAGTTTTTTTAAAAATAGATTAGAAAATGAAATTAAGTAATTGTCAAAGATTAACTCCTCTAAAAAAGTAAACAGTTTCATGAAAATTGACCTATTATCTGGTCTGCTCATAGCACTTTGACATGTCCTTATTTAATTTGCTGCTGCAAAAGCTAAAGGAAAGAGAGTAAAATCTTATTAATCAGCTTCATTTATGCATCAAGTGACAAAGGGCCATCAAGTGACAAAGGGGGACAATTATTTATTTTAACATAGATGAATCTCTGTAAGCTCAGCCAAAACATAAGGGTGTTGCAATTGAAAACGTGATCTTCTCAAACTAGTACTAGCTTTATAGATGGAGACTTTTTTAGTGCAGTATGGAATAATAAATAAACACTATCAAAAGTGAGATCAGTATTAACTTTTATCTAGCAAAACTGAAAAACTAAATGCAAACAAGAATGTAAACCTTAAGAATGTCTATTCTCAAAAGAAAATGAAGTATTTAGACGAGCATTTTTTGCACAGCTTCAGGGTATATTGAGGAGAACTCTACCTCCACCTACTGGACCAGCTACAAAAATGTTCGCAGTTTGAAAACGGCACAGAGGAATTGTAAAGCCACCTGTACGAATATGCAACACAATTATATTGAAGATACTAGTCTGACAGAAGTTTTTTTTTCCTCCTTGCTCTTAGTTCTCTACATGCCATATGTTTGAGGACATTATACTTCGCTGTTTAATCTCACCTAAACCTGTTCTTAAGCGTGTGTCCACTGCCAAAGACTACCTACCTACCACTCAAAATACATTGCAATTGCAAATTGCTGCGTTCAAAATACTGAGGCTGAGGACATGAACTTTTATCCTTTTGGATTATGCTGGATTTAAAACAGTGTAGGACTATCAACACAAAAAATCTAACGTGGATTATGGTTGTCGGGGGTTTTTGTTTGTTTGTTTTAATTCCAGCGTATGTGGGCACGTTAATACCACTGCCTCAGGCTGGATAATCTGCCAGCATTATAAGTTTCATATGAGCAAAACCAATTTCTCCTCTGGAATATTCTCCATTCTTGCTACCAACGTACATTCTGTTTCCCAAAAGATTGCGTATATGTTTGTACATGTTTAATTGCTCCTTCCCACACATCAAAAGAACACACAAATGTGACACCCCTATATATCTGCCTTTTCTTTCTGCTCTGACCGCAAGATCACTCATTCACAAGGTATCTTTGAAACTGCCTGTTGATCAAGTTTCTAGATCAGAATTTCCTAAACCATGCCTTCCACAATAACAGGCCCAGTGAGATAATCAACTTAGTTCAACATCTGTTTCTGTTAGTCTCCCCATCTTTCTCCCCATCCCACAAAAAGATTAAAATACGTATTAGAATTGTTCTCTTCAGCACCATTTTTCTTCTGTGTGTGTCTCAGTCTCAGCTTAACAGGCTCATGCACACACATTACAGCAGGTACAAATATTCCTCAAGCAGCTCCTACAAAAGCTGAAAATGCATAGAGGGGCTGCCACCTCCAAAACAATTTACCTATGCCACTCCTGAGTTTTCCAATGGGCAAAGAAAGCAGGTTGTACAAAATTCTGACCCTCAAGAAGCCCATTCATTATTCCTTCCCACCAAGAATCACTGAGACTCACAAGCACAAGTCAATCAGATCTCATTCATCCACAGAAACAGACTTACTGCACACACAGAGACTAACAAAACGGTGGTGGGGGCGTAACACCATCACTGCCTTCCTTACCAGAAAAATAAGAAAAAACAAAGCATAAAGGTGGTAATCACTATTCCAGCCAAGTAATAGTGGATCCATCTATAAAATTCACTTTTCATCACATTAATTTTGCCACACACATTACCTTGGAGCCTCTTTTCCATAAGAGGTGAAGTTCAATTCATTACTTTCCATTCTTTCTTTTCTTTAGCCTCCTGCTTCTTCCCAAGTCGACTTTCTTTCAGGATCTCCTTCTTGTCTCCACTCTACAAGTAACACTAACTACAATACCATGTTAGTTACCCTCTAGTGCTCAGTCTTTGCTTTTCTTCTGAGTTTCTTCAGTGGAAGAGATACCATCCTTTTACTTAAATGCTACACAATCCAATTCAAATCTTTAACTGTTACTATGCTTTGATATTTCAGGAAACAATCTACATTAAGTATTTAATTATTTACGTGAGTCTACTCATGTTGTACAAATGTATATTCAAGAAACAGACCATGTAAGTCTGAAACACAATTACAGCAACCACTTGCCACCAGAGAGAATAAACATTTCTTTCAGTCTGCTTTCTCAAGTTCCCTGTAATGGTATGTCAACTATTCCACCGGTTTAAGTAATAAAAGCCTCCCACTGTGAGTTTAGCCTCTAATCTCTGTGAAATCTTTTTTTAAGAGAAAGATCTGCCTTAAAGTTATGTACCCTGACAGCACCATACTGCCATAATTGCCTAAACTGTACAGTGTGCTAGAGTAATTGAAGGAAACTACAATTTCAAGTTAGAACTTCTGTTAAGTCTCAGATGTAAAAGTGTTAACATGAAGGAGTGTGACAAGCCTCCCAAAAGCTGCATTTTAACTTCTTGTTACTCGTTTCTCATAGTGTTATAAGGCATTCAGTGTTTCTCAGTAACTCCTATAAGCACTTCTGATGAGATACAGTTCTCACTAAATTCATAAAGAAACCTTATGTTGCTACTTATGGATGGGTTAAGCTTTTGTATTGTTTTCTAACTGACAAAGGAAAAATCAATCTCTAAGATCAACTTAAGACACTAAAAGCACCAAAAATTACCTCCTGCTCAAAATTAATATGCAGCAGTCTATCTCCCTGCCCTAAACCACATATAAAACAGATTATTTGCTGCTGTTCAAGAGATTTCTTGCAATTTACATAATACACAAAAACAAAACAAAACAAAGAACACCAAAATCCACAGAGAAAAGTTATACAACATCCAAAGCAAAATAGAAGGAAGGTAAAAGTAAAATGGAAGATAAGACAGAAATAAAAATCAATCTCTGTTTAATATATGTATGTGCAGTAAACATCAGTGATTAGAGATGTAGAATGAAAACATTTAGAAATACTTCTGTTTTCTCAGGTTTAAAAACCACAATCTCCACATCCTGAAAAGGACAGAGTAGACCTACCCTTCTGTAGACTACTGTATGATTTATTTCCAGTGTTAAAAACAAAGATGTTAATAGACTCTTAGTTTATGTATTCTGTGTTTTCAGCTATTAATATTAATGTAACCAACTTACGCTGCTACTGCATTGAAGGTATTCATTAATACAAAGGCAGCACGCTTAAAACCATTTTAGCTTAGTTTGGTTTAAATTTAAAGTCAACTTTAAAAGGCTTCAAAATTTTATTCAGGAACTACAGAACTCAGGAGCACAAAACGCCATACAGAATTGAATTACCACCCCTCTAAACAGTGTCACCATTCGAGTGAACAGTAAAAAGAGTAAACTGTATTTAAATATTTCAAAATAAGCTTTTTCTCAAGACATTTTGTATTTATTTATTATTTTTTTAAATCAGATGGGGCCACACACACGGTGTCTTTGTTATTGTATATAAACTTGCCTGCTTTAGATTTCTAAGTTGTTCTCTTCTCCATATTGCCCAGGGAACCCTTTTTAAGGAAGAAATGTCTTAACACAAGATGTTTAACAGCACAGGAGCGTGTACGGATTATGGAATCTTTTCTACCAGGAAAATAATGTTATCTCTGATCTGGGTCAATGAATAAAGCTGAGATGCTCACACAAGTAAAGTCAGGATACACATTTAGATGTCAAGCATTCTGAAGATTTTAAGAGGATCATCCTTGGAACTGTTTTTTATTCCGCTCCAGAGAAGATTTAGCCAAATATGCAGTTACATGTAATTATAGTCCCTCTTTCTCTCTTCTAACCCTCTCCTAACTCCAAAGGTACTTTCTGCTTGAAGCAGAACAGGACAATGGAACCATCTTTGCAATATCCTTCCAAAATTGCCAAAGTCTCAAGTCTCAGTACTGCTACCAGAAAATGTTCAGAGCAGCTACCTGAACCTGACTTTCCAAAAGCATTAGGTTAACAGTGCATTAGCTGCTCTGCAGTAGTTGCCTAGGCACTATACACGTGCAAACAATCTTACTCTTAATAAGAGAAAGGACACATTTACAAGACAGGTAAAAACTACCAGAGTAGCTAAAGGATTACTTATAGTGTGGCTTATCTCATTGTATTTTATTTATCCTTTCAACTTTCAGATCAAATCAGTTTCTCATTCCCCTCCTTCTATCATTTTTTTTTGTTATATGAACACAGAAAAATGAGACAGAATACAGACTTCATTTCACAGCTGCCAACACCGCCAAAGGAAACAACTTATTTAGTACCAGATAGTAAAGATAGAATGAAAGAAATTATCACTTTTTCAAATAAAAAAACGTGAATGTAGCTGCTAGCAAATTAGCCAGTGTTTAGAGAAGGGCTTAAAGTATCATTTCGCAGCTGTTCGGACAACAAAAAAGAGGAAGATAACATTAGTAGTACCTCTTATTTTCAGCCAAATTTGCACCTTCATCCTTCAGCTCCTTACTTTTCTTTACACAGTCTTCTAAGAGAATTTCCTTTCTTCTCTTAGTTGCATGCACCCAGTTAGCTTCATCATCATCAGCCAGATCTTTGTCATCTGCAGCTTCTGCTTCAAATTGCTGAGAAGTAGCTTTTGAAACTTTCTCACCAATCTTTCTCTTCCACCCAAAAGAAGCCATCTGGAGAACTAGAGAAAAACATATTTTCAATAATCAAGTAATTTAGCTTTTAAGTACCTAGAAGAAAAAATACACCTTGTCCATCTCAATTCTAAAACAATAATATGAAACAGACTGCCACTCCCCCACATAAATTCTGCTCATTGGCTTCACCAAAGATGTTAGTCACAGAACTATAATTTTAAGCCGAGCTGGAAGATGTTCTCCACCAAGAAAAAAAAGGAAAAAGGCAGCACTCTGACATACCAGAAAGCCTTAAAACGTTGAAGCCAACACAAAAGAAACCAGACAAAAGCAGAAAGGAAACGACTCGGTCCAAGGT